GCTATGTCTCAGCCTCCTTGCCTCACCCTCCCACTGAGGCGGCTGGGTCCCACGTACCCTGCTTTTCTTCCCACCTCGTCACTCACTCCTCTCCTGCCCAGGCCAACGTGGAGCATATGACAGAGAAGATGAAGACAGACATCCAGAGGGGCCTGGTGCTCCGGTGAGGCTGCTGCGGGTGCTGGGCAGGCAGGGCACAGAGCCTGGGAGTTGCCACCCTCCTCACCGATCCCACTCCACCTGTGCCTGGCCTGGGGAACCTGGACTTGGGGCAGCCTCGACCGCCTTGTGTGCCTCCATAGGAACGAGAAATGCCACGAACACTACACCACGGAGTTCCTGTACAACCTGTACTCCTCGGAAGGCAGGGGCGTGTTTGACTGCAGGACTAACGTGCTGGGCCACCTGCAGCAGGTACAACTCCGAGGGTGGTTCCCCGGCCCCAGCAGGGTTCCCCTCTCCATCCCTGTGTTCTTCTCTGGGGGTCCTGGGAGGACCCAGGAGAGAAAGAGAGAGTGTGTGTGTCCTTTATGCATGCTCTGAGAAGGTGCTTGCCAGGCTGTTCTTCTCATTCTCAGCACTCTGGGTGGAGAATGTTCTCATCCCTCCTTCACGGAGAGAAGACTGTGGGGCTGAGACCCAAGCCTGGCACTTGGGCCCTGGGCTGAGCCCTCATCTTCTGGGAGGCGGCCTAAGCCTCTGTCATCCTGTTATGTCCTCCTGGCCTATTCCCTCACCTACTAAATAAACCCTATTGGCTTGTGGCTTTCAGGAGGCCTGGGGTGGGGCCCTGGATCCTGAGTCCCAGGGGTCATTTCTGGTGTCTGGAATGGAATGGCTTCTAGGCTGCACTTTAAGACCCTCCAGGTTATAGGAAGAGGCCTGATGGCAAGAGGTCAGAAGTGGTCATGCTCGCTGCAAGAACACAAGGAGACAGTCACGGCTCATGTGCTGGCTTAGGGCCCCCTTTGTGTCCAGTCTCCTTTGGGGCTTGGCTAGCTCCAGGGATAAAGTTTGGCCTGTGTTTCTAGGGTGGTGCTCCAACCCCCTTCGACCGGAACTACGGGACCAAACTGGGGGTGAAGGCCATGCTGTGGATGTCGGAGAAGCTGCGGGATGTCTACCGTAAAGGTAGGGGGGTGAGCTGGCCCGACATGGCTCTGTGAGGGTCTCTGGGGGCATGGCCTTGCCCACCGCATGTCTGTCTCCATAGGACGGGTGTTCGCCAATGCTCCGGACTCGGCCTGTGTGATTGGCTTGCGGAAGAAGGTGGTGGCCTTCAGTCCGGTCACAGAGCTCAAGAAAGACACTGATTTTGAGTAAGTCCTTTTGGAGCTGCATGGAGAAGGGAAGGTCCGGGAGGCCCAGAACGTCCCTGGACAGGAAGGACCCTTGTCAGACTTTAAAGGGCAGGAGTCTTGTCAGGGTGTTCTAAGACCAAAGTGGGGCCGTCTGGGAGGGTCTTTGATGAGCAGGCTGATTAGCCTGTGGCTCTTGCACCTGGCTCCACCTCAGCAGCATCTCCTCATCCCCGGCCAGAGGAATGGGGTGCCCAGATGTGTCCCATATACCGCCCTGGTCACAATAACTCCGGGATTACGGGACTGCGGGGTTCAGCTTCTCATCTGTCTACCCAGGCACCGCATGCCACGGGAGCAGTGGTGGCTGAATCTGCGGCTGATGCTGAAGATGCTGGCGCACTACCGCATCAGCATGGCGGACTACGTGTCTGGGGAGCTGGAGCATGTCACACGCCGCACCTTGAGCATAGACAAAGGTTTCTGAGGCCACCATCACCACCCTTCCTGCTTTCCCGGACTTTCTCCCTTCCAGGGCCAGCCACGGATCCCAGCTCTGAGGGGAGCTTGCAAGGAACTCGGAGCCGACGGCTGGAGGATGGGGGTCTAGTGTGCTGCCCTGGGCCTTCGCTCCCCTAGCCGCCTCCAGGACAGAGCACCCGGGAGCCCTCACCTTCCAGCCCCGGCTGGGCAGACCCACATTGCCTCTCCCTCACTGGTCAGCTGGCTGCCTCACACGTACTTTTTTATTTTAGAAATAAAGTCACCCGACTAGAGCCTGCTTACAGCATGACCTGAGGAGTCCCAGGGAGAGGGTTGTCAGGACCCATGTGCTATTATGCAAGATCAGATGGTAGGGGACCCACCCCCCGGAGGTGGGGCACTAAAAAGGGTCAAGAAGAGTTACTGAGCCTGGTGTGGGCCCCCCCCCCCGAATAGCTGGGGTCTCAGCCTGTGGACAGTGAGCTCTGGGTCTGGAGGGGAGACTGTCACTGTCAGTATAGTGTTCCTGGCTGGCTGCTGACCTCCAGGCAGTTCTTGGGGCCTACAGGCTGGCTCCTTGGAGAAGCCTGTGGAGGTCAGAGCCCTGGCTACCCCCACTGCAGGTCGTGCTCCAACCCACTGGCCAGGCCAGGGTTTCTGTGTGGATTCATTCTGCTGGGTTCATTCATTCCCTGGAACGGCTGGATGTTTACAGTAGATGGAGGCTGTTTTCCTGCCTGAGGATATGGAGGTCAAGGGTTGTGGTTTTGGCTTTGTGGGCCTGTTGGCCACATCGGTATGGAGGTTGTCCTGGGTAAGGGTCTCCCTATGGGCCTGGACTTTTCAGGCAGCTTTAGGAACCTCTTGGCTTAGTCCCAACCTAAAGGGCAGTGGGTCTGACTGGACTAATGAGGCCAAGACAAGGGCAAGCACTCGTATAAATGGCTGCTACTTCTCAGCCTCTGGTTCCCATGCTGCTCTTTCCCATACGCTGGCCCCCAGAGGACAGACCACAGTGGAGCAGGGCCTCCCTCTGGTGCCCAGGGTACTGGGGATGGCAACAGTGACTTGAGGCCCAGAGCTGGCTGGGCGTGTTGTCACTGTTGAGTGCTTTATGGGTCTTGAGACCCCTGAATAAATCTTAGGGTGATCAGGGAACCTTAGGAAGCATTCCCCAAAGCATGACAGCCGACAGGCTTACCCATTGCACTAGCCCCCTGCAGCCCTGCTTGGAGGCAGGCCACAGTGTTCCCGAGTCACCATGTCACACTGGTTCACATATGTGGACTCAGAACCCAAAGCACCTTGCAACTCTTCCAGTAGCATAATAATATCTAAGCCCTTGCCCCAGCAGCCATCAGAGTCCCCAGCATCCTGTGGCCTCATATCCCCAATGTCGTGTAGTCTGATGACATGAACTGGGTGATCCCGCCTATTGGATGTCTGACCCTTGTGAAGACTAAACAGGGTCGGGGTCAATGGAGCATGCTACATCAATGACTTGGCTGAGATAGGCAGGTCCTTTCCAACCCTGCCAGCTTGCCCAGCCCAAGAAGGGGCAGCATCTGTAAGGGCGTCATTCCCTAAGGCTATGCTCAGTGGCTGCCCACTCTACATAGCTGCTGCTGTATGCAGCTTTGCACAGTAGAGGACCGACCTCTCTTCCTAATGGGTGTTCTCATTTTGCAGCGGTTGTATGGGATGACCCAAGTACAGAGTAAGAGTGGACCTTCCAGGGAAGGTCTGAGACCAGGCCTGGCCATGGAACTCAGGGGTGCTGGTCACAGACTCTTCAACAGACAGGAAAAACTGCAGCATGTCTTTGATGTCATGATGCTCTGCTCAGAGTGCTGCATGGATGCAGGTGCTGCCGGGCAAGTACGCACCTGAGATGCCAATGGTCGGCCCCATAGGTCACTGCAAAGCTGCTGTGGGTCTTTTTCCCAGGCAACATGCCAGCTGCCCCCCCAGAAGTCAGTGTCCTCAAGGCTGCTGGGAGTGGGGTCCAGGACCCTGGAGGATTTGTGTCTTGAGCAACAAGGTCTGTATTATGGCTCTTGAGGAACAGAATCAATGGGATGTATACTGTAAAAGTGGGTTCGCCAGGCTGGTTTACACAAGTGGGCTGGGTGGCCCAGTAATAGCCATCTGCATGTGGGAGAGGCTGAGAACCTGGTAGCTGTTAAATTTATGCCTGCATGTCTCAGCAGCCCCAAGCTGTTGCCGAGTGCCTGGAGGTTTCCTGGAAAGTCTCTGGTCTTCAGTTCACACTGGGAACTCAGAGATTCTGCTGTCACTAGAGGAAGGGGACAGCACGAAGGGCTGGCAGGCAGCATTGCCTTTTCACTTGGACCACTTTTTATCTGGGCTGCCTGCTAGGGGGTGCTGCCACTCTGGAAATGGCCTCGAGACCATCCTAAGGTTCTCCTGCTCCCCAGCTGGCCGGTTCAGGAGTCCCTGCTGGGGGACACATGTGCTTGTCCCAGAGTCACTGTGAATTATCCATTAACTGTTTACCATGTTATCCCTCCATTGAGGGCAACTCAAGGTCTGGGGACAACAGCAGGCAGTCTGGGCATCTGCCACACAGTGGGGCTCTACAACATAGCATCACAGGCTGGAGAAGCAGACACAGGACCTGTCTCACTCTGGTCACTGCCAGGTAGGGTCAGGTCATCGCCCCGTGCCTGGTTCCTTCAGCATGGAACTCCTGCCAGGTTCAATGTTTATCTGTTCAGCTGCGTGGCCGCTTTGGGTCCTGGTGATGGCAATGGCTTTAGGAGACACACAGGATACAGAGCAGCTACCTCTTTCCTGAGCTCTACTCTTTGAGGGGTGACACCTCCAGCCTCAGTTCTCCCTGCTGTGAGTTGGATAGGAGGTGCCCCGTCCCTCTGATGCCAATTCCTGTTTTGCTCAAGGGGCTACACCTGGAGCATTCAGAGTAAGGGGCTGAAGGTCCGTTTGCTCAACTCCGAGTAGGGCCCCATGCTGTGCTGTAACTTGTCCCCAGTCTGGGCAGAGAAGGCTGGAGTGGGCATCAGGGATTGGGGTCTTATCACAACTAGTACAGTTTGCCCATCCCTGAGGTATGCATGAGTGTGCCCCAGGAGGAAGGAAAGCCAGGGTGTTACAGGCGCGTGGTGTGGTTCAGGGGGCAGCTGCTAGCATTTCCAGATTTTTAGGTCCCGGAACATGGAATTGGACCAGGGACACAGATACTGATAGAAACAAGTTTATTAAGAGAGAAAGTACTCCCAAGATTGGAGGTGGACCAGAGGAGGAACAAGGTCTAGTGGCCAGTGGTCCTGAACTTTCAGCATTAAGACCCTATAAGGTCAGCTATTGTATACAGCAGGCTTCTTGGGCCATGTCTACCTGTACCATAGTGGTGGTCGTGGTTCCAGACTTTTTGATCATTGTTCTATGTATGCTAATATATAATATATATAGGCTAATCTTGATATCTTTCTTGGTTCTGTTCTCTTGTGGCAGGTGTAAGCTCACCCCATGGCCCTCCTGCCTGGTGGGTAAGTTACAGGCCCTACCCCAGCTGTTCTAACAAAGACAGCTTTATTGATGGCATCCGACACCTCAGAATGCTGGGCACCTCTGGATGTCCCCAACAGTTACTCTACCCGGGTGACATCCCTCTCCTGAAGAAGAAATAAAATGGACAGTGTCTGCCCATCCTTGTCCTGAGAGGAATCCCTTCTCCTAGGCTACGGTATCTAAGGACATCTGGGACACGGTGTCTTGTAAGACCATTTCAGGCCACCTCCCTGAGGACAGGCTTGACACAGGGACATCAGGGTTCCCCCATACATAGCTGCTGAGAAACAGCATGGACCTTGAGGTCAAGGCCCTGCCTGTCACTGAGATGCTGGCTTCCAGCCCGAACAAAGTGCTTTATTGGAGGGTATGGCTCGTACAGTCCCCCTTGAGGAAGGGTCAGGCAGTGCCCAGATCCTCAAGGTCTCAGCTGTAAGGGACCATGCTGATGGGCAGCACCTCTGCCAGCCCTAGGCACAAGAGAGGGGTCTGCTCAGCTGGCAGTCCCTGTTCCTCCCTGGGTCTGGTGTTGGGAGTCCAGAGGGAGGCTTTTCAGGTTGAGCTGTGTTTCCACAGGATACAGGGTCCAGGTACTGGGGCATATGCAGTCACTCCATGTCCTCCTGGGGCTCCAGCCTGTGCAACGCCTGTAGCCGGCTGCCCACAGTCTGCTGGACAGCCTCTAGCCCCTCCATGTCCAGTTCCCGCAGCAGTAGCAAGATGGCAGTCAGGATGTTCTGGGGACAGAGAGGGTGACCTAGAGACTGCCTGGTGGCATCCTTTATAGGGTGACAGTCTCGGGACGAGGGGGCAGGCCTTCCAAGCAACAACATGGGAAGGTCACAGCACAGACACTGGATAACTGCCTCCCTATCCAGTTCCTGACAGTCTTAGGTCTGTGCCCTAGCTTCAGATGGAGAAACTGAGCATAGAGGCTGGGGGCCCAGGACAGCTCAGTGTGGCATTCTCTCATACAAAGTGGTGAGAAAGTGTTTCCAACCACAGACAAGAGGACGACTGAGAGGCAGTACCAGTGGCTCACTGGGGGAACGAGCCAGAAGTGAGGCTTGACCCCTGACCTCTACAGCACACTAAGCCCTCTGCAGACCCCTATGTGTGTCCTTGTTCTATAGATGCTGGTCCCAGGGTGACCAGCCGGAAGGTGGGCCTTTGGGGTGGGTGTGCCCATTCTAGCTGTGGGCCAGAGGATACCTGGTAGGCACCAGTAGACAAATGCCTTTGGCATTTCTCCGTGGAGCCCTTGAGGACTTGGGAAGGAAAGGGAGACTGGGCACAGGCCTGCTCCTGGAGTTGAGTTTGACATGGGGGCAGCAGTGGAGAGGAATCCTGAGGGACAGTGACCTCGAGAGGTGGGGGCTCCAGCATGCTGGAGTGGGAAGCAGAACTGAGCCTCGTACCCGCCCCCCACTTCCTCCCTATGAGCCTACATCTGGCCCCATGTTCTGCTGTCTGGAGAGAGGGGGCGATGGTCACTCACCCTACTCTTGTGACTCCTCAGGGCATCCCTCTGTGAGAAGGAAGGAGGATGGTCTCCAGCAGTCTGGCCCGGGGCTCTACTGGTGAGAGGGAGACAGAGTGTGGCGGTCAGAGGGCTGCAGGCAACACCTGCAGCCAAACCCCACTATGAAGACGCCACATTGCACTGGCGAGTGGTCCCAGTCCAGAGCAGCAGACGGGGCAGGCACCCTCAGTCTAGGCATTGTATAGTGGCACAGGAGCTACAGGGAGCAACTGCTTTGTGCTCAGGGCTCCCTGCCTGCAATGCTTTCCACCCAGGGCTTCCGGGAAGGCATTGCCACGGAAATGACCCTGGCGGGAGTCAGAGCAGAAGAATGGCCTGTGGTCACTCCCGGAGTTCATCTCCAGTGCTGTCCACAGATAGGAAACAGCAGGCTGCATCTGACATGTGGAACTCAGCTGTGGTCCCTCTAAAGAACTCACAGCCTTCCTCCTGTGCCATTCTGACCAAGCCTAGTCACAACAAGCAGCAGAATGCCCACATTGAAGGCCACCGAGGAGCACAACAGCCAGAGGCTGCTTCCGGCTCTGCATTACCCTTCCTCCCTGGGCCACTGGCACTGTGTTGAGCTCACTTCCCTCCCCAGGAGACAGGAAGCTTCCTCATGGCCTGAGGATGCCCCGGGAAGTAAAGGTCTTGATCCCTGGCAGGCTCTCTCACTCTGTTTCCTCTGCGTAGCTCAGCAGGCCGGGGCTGGTCTCAGTTGTCAAGCTGACAGAGCTGAGGGTGTAGGAGGGCTTGGGACAGCCATTGCCTATACCCTCTCTGTCTGGGGCAGCAGTGATCTCATCTCCCTCCATCAGTGCGCGAGTCAGCTCTTCCTCCGTCACCGCTTGGGGAGAAGGACAGAAAGGTAAGGGTGTCACAGGCCTGTGCTGCGCAGCTCCACGCAGCTCCGGCTTCCTCGAGGCTTCAGCACGCCTGCTGCTGTGTGTGTGTGTGGGGGGGGGGCTGTCCCTGTGGAGAGTCACTTCTGCTCCTTCTGCTCCCCAATCCCAGAACGTGTATGACACTTGGCAGAAGGGCAGGGGGTGCTTGTGAACCTCAGGTCTAGCATCTTCTAAGAGCAAACCCCAAGTCCAGATAAATCTGCGTGGTGCTAGGGTTGGGTCCAGGCCTTGCACATGCTAACAGGCTCTCTGCCATTTCTCTGGAAATGAATGGCTACATTTCCAGTCCCTAAAACAAATCTGAAAAAGAACGGGCTTTCCATATTGACTTCATCACTCTTGCTCATTAAGTGTCTGGGAGAAAGCAATTACATGTGAGCATCAGAAACTGCTGCTAAGAGCATAAAGCCCTGGTGTCAGCAAGCTGGACCCTGCCAAGAGCCCATAGCAGGGCTCCCCACCATGACAGAGGGGGCATGCAGGCACAGCATAGGTGGGCATGGTGTGGGGGGCAGTGGGGGTCTCCTCCACCTGGCTCCAGAGGCCTGGCTGCCAGTGCAGCTGAGCCCACACTATGCTGCCCAGTCAAGCCACTACAAACCCTCTCCATGGGACACAGATTCTCCTCACAGAGTGAGGCAAAAGGACGAGAGACTGTTGAGGCACCCAAGTCCAAGTGGGCTTAACAGACAGGAGCCTATGCTAAATGCTGCAATGATATAACGGAAAGGGGACACTCACACACGGCTGCTTCTGATGACACTATGTGGCGGGCATAAGCCCATTTCCGCAAGCTGGGAGTTGCAGAAGACAGGGTGGCGAGGTGCCTGGGAAGCCCCAGAATGGGAACCATTTCATTCGCCAGTGGGTGGACACGCCAGACCCTACCTTGGTTGTCTAGCTTCTGCAGGTGGGGCAGGTTGCGCAGCACAGTCATGCGGTAAAGGTGCGGGCTAGTGCCGCAGCACGGGTTCTCGGCCAGCCACAGCACCCTGAGGTGTGGTAGATCCTTCAGGTAGAACAGCTCATCCAGACTGGGGATACGGTTCCTCCTCAGGTACAGCTCGCTCAGGCGTCGGCAGCCACGTACAGGTTCCAGGGTGGAGACACTGTTGACGCTGTGGGACCAGCACACTGTTAGGGACCCAAACAATCTGGATCACCATGGGCCAGGACCCTCCACCTGTGTGGGTCTGCCTGTCATGAGTACCAGCAAAAGGTTTTGGCCTTAGAAATGGGTCAAAACCAAGTAAGTCAGGGCTGGGGAAGAGGCACCCTTAGGAGGGGGTCCCTGAACTTGAGGCACCATGTGGGCAGCTCCTTGGCCTAAAGGTCTGCATTCTCATGGAATCACTGTGGCAAACGGGGTGCTTCAACCTCCTTTGTAGGTGACACTGAGTCCCCAAGAGACAGACTTAACCCTCAGCAGGCACAGCTAAAACTCGGCAACAATGCCCACAAGCCCTACATCACATGCAAAGCAGTTCTGGCTTCCAGAATCCAGGCTAAAGACAAACAGGATTTTAGGGTGATTTCCATCCTGTAGGAAAGGGAATACAATGCAGGAAGGGAAAAACAGAACATTCAGAACCCCCAAAGTCCTTACCCACACACCAGATCTTTACAAATGTTCTACCTCCCAGCGCTAGGGCCTGGCCTGCTGCGCTAACCCCACCCATGCTCCCTCCTGCAAGGCTGCTCTGACATGTTAACATGCTCTAGGAAAGAACACTGGCAGGTAGTAGGGGCCGTAAGTATCAGTCCTATCTTAGGTCCCAGAATGCTCAGGGGGGGAAATCTAGGGATGGAGGAACTCCTAGAAGTGATAGAATCAGGAAGGCGGAGGAGAGAGGGCATTGGAAGGTTCTCGGGGACAGGTGCGGCCACAGGGAGGACTGGCCTGGGTGGACTACTGTGCATTATTAGCAGGCTTGTCTAACCACGGCTACAAGCGCACAGATAACTTCCTGGGGCGGAGGTGAGAGGGCAAGCCGAGCGGAGCCTTTGAGAGGCCCAGGCAAGTCCCTGAGAAAGCAGGTATGGTTTGTAGGAGGGCCAGGCTCTTGTAGGCTCATTCCCCAACCCAGAAGCTGCCATCCTAGACTGTGCTGGGAGTCTCCAGCTTTCCTATCTCCCCTGGGTCCCACAGGGGGGGCATGCAGCTCCCCACAGCTTCCATACCCCGGGACTACGGTGACACAGGGTCAAGTACCTGAGTGTGATCACTTCCAGGCTGGGCATCTCGCGGCATATGGAAATCTAAGGAGGGAAGAGTGGGGTGGTGAGCTGGCAACCGTGTCCGCTGTCACTTCTCAGGTCAGGGAGGACATCTGTCCTGGGTCCTAGCACCTGCACTAGTGGGGCCAAGGAGCGTAGCCTTGCACAAGCAGGGCGCTCAGAAGAATCAACGCCTGCCGGTCTCTGCGGCCCAGACTGCCCTCGCAGTGCTCTTCCCTGGGGTGGGTGTTTCCACCTGACCGTTTAAGACAGTTCAAGAGACAGAACATCGTTATATTCAATGCCCTCAAAGGACATCTGGCTGGGAAGCTTGGTTTCCTATGCCGCAATACAGAAAACTTTTTCTCTTGCTGCTGCTGAGGCACAAGGAAAGGACAGACACCCTTCCTGCCAGTGGATCTGGGCCCAAGTCAGACACAACAGCAAGGAGGTTTAGGCTACAAGTCATTGTCGGATCTGCAGATCAGACCTGGGTCGTGGGCTCCACAGTCCCAGCTTGGTACACTGTCTAATCTCTGCCTGCCACGGGGGGGGGGGGGGGGATGCATCCTGAAACTGGGCCATCTGACAGGAGGCCATGCAGAGAGCCTCTGAGGATGTCTGTGAGGGAAAAGCACCACCCAGGACTCCTCCAAGAGCGGAGCTTTGACTCGGCCCTCTTCTGTGTGGGTCCAGCAAGCGACAGGGCCCTGAACTGATGACCACAGATCTGTGACTTATCTATTCTTCTGAGGAAGAGGCATCTGGGAGATGACGGAGTCAAGGCAGAACTTACATCTGTGAGCTGGCTGCCCCTGGGGAAGAAAAGACGGACATACTTTAATCTTGTTGAATGGAAATGACAATTGTCTATACCTCTAAAGATTCTATGATCTAAATGGCACAGTAAGGAATGCTGGGTAACCAGATAACAGGAGAGATATCACAAATGATTAGGTTGATTTCTGACACTATCACACGCTTGGTGTATGGGGATTCTCTGTGTGCAGGACACACGATTTCCTCCTCACAGATGCCCACAGCAGAAAACTGTTTCCTCTCACAGACATGTTAAAAGGCTGAGCATGCAGCTTATGAAGCAAGCTTCACAGGCCTGCAATGAAGCTGTTTGTTTCTGCCCGCACAGAGGGAGCCCTGCCATGTTGGCTCAATAAAGAAAGGCATTATTGAAAACTCAGAAAACAAAAGGGACTGTGGTTCAACACCAGCTGTGCCAGGGCAGAGAAAGGCTTTTAATTAACCAAGTCCAGTCTTTCCAATAGCGTGCTGACCCCGCAAGGAGCAAGGGGCTGATTTGTTGTGCCTCTTCTAGATGCTTTGGCCACAGTGTCCCACCTGAGTCCCCAGAGAAACCTGTAGCTCTTTCACAACCTACGAACACAAACTCCTCCCGAAGCTCTGGTCTCTCAGTCTCAGCGTGACCCAACCATGCATCTGTGAGCGCATCCTTCCTAAAACATCTAAGTTCCAGGCTGTCTCTCAGACCTGGTCACCCTCTCCAGCATCTAGTGACCACGGAATCATGACTTTACAACCTCAGTTCTCTCTTCCGGTAGACACACCACTAAAGAAAGCACCTTCGTTTTCAGATAGCAGCCGCACTGACTGAGGGTTAGTGGAAGCCCCTCGGCGAGACTAGAAGGAAATTCTAGCTATCAGGCGAGAGCCACAACTCCTCCGAGGCAATGGCCCACGAGGTGGGCCTGCAACTTGGCTAGCTTGGGGCAGCAGGCGCCGCGGAGGGGGCTGGGGAGGAAAGGGGCTCTGCTCCCTCCCGCGCCTGGCCGGCCTCACCAGCAGTTGAGCTTCCGCACGCTGTGCAGCTCCGAAGCTTTGGTTCGGGACAGGACCATTTTTCGCGTTAGCTTCATAGTGGCCGCAGGGCCGCGGACCCGGCCGCCCCCTTGTACACTCAGCTAGCGGGAGAGGCCTTCGCCGCGGCGCGTTTCCAGGGGCGGGGCCCGAGTCTCCAGGGGCGGGGCCTGAGGTCCCATTGGTCGCTAGAAGAGAGGGTGGAACTGCACGGGAGCAATGGGACGGGCAGACTTCCGGGGCAGGAGGCTCCGCCCCGAGCCTTTGGCGGCACTCCGAGTCTGCCATCCTGCGCATGCGTGAGGCTCCCAGCTGTACTGCGTTTTGGACCTCCTGTCGCAAGGAGGTTGGCCCTCTGCTCCACCTCCGGGCTGGGGGTGCTGAGAAGGCGTGGGTGTGCGAGACTCGGGACGCCAGGCCGGCCCCGGGGATATCGGGAAGGATGTAGCTGCGGCAGTGCAAGCCTGGCCGAATTGGGAAGGATGACGGAGTCCTCGTGGAATATTCCCGCTAAACCCCTCCAGGGCCGCTTGCTTCGGATCCTCATCCCTCCCAGGGATGGAGGTCACCCTTGCGCCCTTGCCTATACCTGCACGAGCCCAAACCAAGGATTTGAGTTACAAAACAGCTAACCCACCGCCAGGCGTTGGCTCATACTTGTAGTTGCTTCAGTCTGAGTCCGAGGCAGGAGGATTTGCCTGAGCCAAACAGTTCCTGGTGAGTTACAGAGTGAGACCTTGTCTTAAAAAACTAAAGCCCGGCAGAGGCAGGAGGATTTAAGAGCTTGAGGCTAGCCTGGTCTACAAGTGTGAGTTCCAGGACAGCCAGGGCCACACAGAGAAACCCTGTCTGGAACCCCTACCCCGTCCACCTCGCCCCCAAAAGGTCAGGGGGCGGAGATGGGGCTGGAGGAATCTTTCAGAACATTGCTTTTTCGGGGAACTCAGGTTTATTCCCGTCACCTGCCTGGCGGCTCACAACCTTCTGTAACTCTAGTTCCGGGAGATCTGACGCCCTCTTCTGGCCCCCGCGTGCACCAGACATCTCGCTTGCAAGCACGACACACACGGCAGGGAAAAAAAAATCTTTAAAAACAAAACTCAAACAGAAAATAGAGTTTATGTTTTTGAAAGTCTCCCCACCCTATGTCTGTGATCTGTCAGAGTGCATCTCAGGTGATCCCAAATGAATGTTTTGTTTTGTGAAGCTGGCGCTGACTTTTATTTTTAGGTCGAAAACTTCTATACCATCTCCTGGCCTACAGATTACACCTGGACAGGCATTGGGGACCTTGGGCCCTTCAGAGGTGACAAGCTGTACTCAATGAGCATTTTTTAGGGCTTCCCTATGAACTCTTTTCCCATCTGACCACCCTGGCCTACTTTTACCAAAAACTGGTTTCAGGGGCTAGTAAAATGGTTCAGTAGGTGAAGACGCTGCTGGAACCCACAGTGGAAAGAGAGAGCAGACTCCCGAGGTTGATTTAGCTTCTGATCTGCACGTGTGTGTCATTAACCACTCTAACAGTGAGGCCTGAGCTGAAAGATACAGAGAGCAACTCAGCCTAACCAGTATGGAGGGAAGGTGTTTATAGGCTCAGTTTAGCGTAGGTCCTGTGGCCACACCAACGGAGGCTGTGCAAGAAAGACACGGGTGATAGAAAGTGGCTGGAGAGGGCAGCTGATATTTGGGGTCAAGACTTGGAGGGGTGTCTGACAGGAGGAAGCTGGGTATCTCCTACTCCCCTTTCTGTCCTGGGAGAGACCTAGGCCTAGGGAGGAGCTGTACCACATTGTACCAAATGCCGGTGAGGCTGATGGGAAAGTGTGGAGTTGCTACCCTGGTCAGCTTGGATTTGACTACCCTAGTTCTTGCCTCTTTAGTTACCTAGACAGAAGTGGTAAGGTGCAGGGGTGGTACAGGCAGAGAATGGGTCAGGCTGTGGTGGACCCTGGTTCTACAGCTTTTCCAGTCCTGGTATCTGACCCTTGCCTGTTGATATCCCCACTGGGACTTCCCTGCAAAAAGACTATTCCTGGAGACTCTTGGTAGGGGAAGGGCCAGAGGAAAGGGGCCCTGCTGCAGAGTTCTGGCATCATGAAGTCTGACTGAAACAGTGGAGGGCCTTGGCTTTCGGGGCTGTGGCTTTTCCTGACCTGAGTGTTAAGTCTCAAAGCCAAGACTGACAGGTGCCTACTTGACATAGCAAAGCTGATCTGGCCACCAGGTTCTCCCAGCATCCCTCGGTCTCTACCTGTTACAGCGTATGGCTGACATACCCTGCCCCCTATCCTAATCTTTTCCAGCCCAGGGGCTGGACTTCTCTTCCCCCAGCTTCCCTTCTTTATATAATCCAGCCATTTTGGTTACCTGGCCTCTTTCATCTCCTCTCCTGGTCAGTCTCTTGCCCAAGCCACCCATCTTGGTTATTGGCTTCCTCTCTGACTCTCCCAGGTGTCCCTGCCTCTGTTTATGCTCTCCCTTTTCTCTGTAATAAAATTTCTCCTCCACCATACCTGGGAGCAGTCGTTTCCTTTGTTTTTTTAATTTCTTTCTTTATTTTTTTTATTCATTGAGGAGTCATGGGCAACTGACCTAGACCCGTGCCCCCTTGAGTTCCCAAAGCACAGCACTGTCTCCCTGGAAGCTCCTGCTTCTCTTGGAGGGGGAGGTTTCTCTGACATCTCTGGTTTGGGAAGACAGGAGGAGGGGGAGGTTTGTCATGCAGCCCCTAGGATTTCTGCAGACCGTGTCATATCTGGTGGCTGCTGAAGGACCTGCGGGTTAGTGGAAGGTCCTGATTGCTTCAACTGAGATCTGTAATGAAAGACTCCTAAGCACATGGTTCTGGGGTGCACTGATGGGGTTCAGTTACGTTCCCAGAACTTCCTTTCCCCCAACAACTCTAGGCTAGGTTTAACCCAAAGAGAAGCAAACAGCAAATGTGTATGATCTGGAAGATGGAGGAACAGCATCAATGGCCACATGAAATGGTGTAGGAGGTCCTTCTGTCTATGTGTTGCATTTATTGGTTAATGAATAGCGGCTCCTTGCAACAGGAAGGTCACTGTGGTGACGGGCAGAATATAATGGTGGTCCTTCTTACCCTGCAGCCAACAGTCTGTTCCCACGGCCATCTTGCATGCACACCCAAATCACCCTGGCATCACTTGGTGCGGACTCAGAACAGAACCCTTCTGTCCTCCCTGTCCGTCCGACCCTGCATCTAACCGTTGGGGGCGGGGGCACACTTGGCTCCCCAGATTCTGAAAGCACCCTTGCCCCACTTCAGGAGGGCTGCTAAGGGGCTTCCCTGAACCCCGCAATTTCTCGTCTCAGACTTCCACTTCCCTATGCTGGAACAATTGCGTAAAGTTTGGCACCTCTAACAAAAGTCTCATTTCGAATGCCAAGGAGCGTGTTTTCCTGCAAAGAACCTGGCACTGACAAGAAAGTAATCCCGACCCACTTAGTCTGAAAGTGACACACTGCCTCCCCGGCCTGAGAAGCTTGAGTAGGGACTTCTTACCTCTGGTCAACCACAGCTCTCAGGTCATGGCCTCATCCTGTGTGCTACTGGCTTAAGGCTGCTGTGGTTGGATTCTTGGTATGGAGTTGGCAGTTTCACATCTGGCAGGAAGAGTGCTTGGCCAAGTTCCTCAAGTTCACATTTGGGGCCGGCCCTGTCAGGGTCCTGTCCTGTCCTGTCCCTGAGTTGGCTGTGCAATACCCCATCTGTAGTCGGTAGTCCTTCCGGGGGACTGCACTGTTAGTGTCCTGGCTGCCAGGGGACCAGGCTGCTGCCAGCCTGGCATTGCTGGGCACCTGCTTGGTTTCTTCAGCACTGACACTTGCTGCTGCCCCTCTCTGTGGGGTCAAGGCTCATCCTCTAAGTGTCGTGTGGCTTTTCCTGCGGAGACACAGACAAGCATCTATAGGGCAATGACAATAGACAGACGATTCTCAGTTCAATTTGATGAACCAGTGAGATTGTTGGGGTTCATTACAGGGGCGTGGGTGGCCATTCACGAAAGCTGTGCCCATCAAACTTCCTGAACAAGTTTCAGAGAGTATCCTCGGCAGTTTAGCTGCTATCTGACCTTGGTCTTGTAACTTTCTGAGTTTCCTGAGCCTTGTGGGTTCCCTTTGCTTTTCCAATCTCAGGAACCTCCCTTCTCCCTTAGTGAGCAAACATTTCAGTTCAGAGGAAACAACTGCACAAAACCTGGGGGCCACCTCTCTTCTGCCCCCCAGGAAGAGGATTGTGGCTGTTGTAAAACACCATCCTCGTCAGATCAGCTGTGCCTGTTTGTAAGAGGCCATCAGGAGTAGTCTTGCTGACCACTGATGTTCTCTCTAGAAAGGGGGAGTGGGGTGGGGAGGGCCACTGGACCCTCACCTGAGAGTCTAGCTCCTCCTCCTCCCAGTCATTTGTATCCTATATTTCTCAAGTTACATGAGGCCTTGTGGTCTTAGGGTGGGAGGGGATGTATTGATGGGCGGCTGCTGGAGAAGCTATCAGTCCATGCTGAATGAAGAGGTTACAGTGTTGCAGGGTAGCTTCCTTGCTGCTCTCCTCCCAGTCCCCACCACCCATGCTCCCACCACTAAGCTCTTACCTCTCTGTAAGTAATCCCAGCAATGTCACTGGTTGCCCCAGGTGAAATTTGGTGGAATTGCACTTTGGCTTGAGGCTAGGACCATATTGCTCGGGGTGTGTGTGTGTGTGTGTGTGTGTGTGTGTGTGTGTGTGCGCGCGCGCGTGCGTGCAGTAATACTGTTTACATCTCCACAGGGAAGGAATTCTCCACATAGTGCCCCTCCTGTCTTCTTCCTCTGCTCCTTCTTCCTCCTCTGTCTTAAAATCCACCAAAAGATGGAACACAGAGCCTAGTCCTGGGAAGTTACCAACAGAGGCCAGCAGAGGGCATCCTATCTCGTGGAACTGGAATTACAGGCGCTTGTGAGCAGCCATGTGGGTCCTGGGAACTGAACTGGGGTCTTCTGAAAGAACAGCAAATGCTCTCGCTGTCTGAGCCAGCTCTCCAGCCCCACACAGCGACTCTTTTCTGAATCAAAGGCCATCTCTGTTCTCAGTGGTTACACTAGCCAGGTACCTCTCATATGAGGTACACACTGGAAGTCTTTTC